CCAATATGTCCAGAACAAATAATACTGAACGATAGCTACGAAAATCTTCAGGTGAAATCAACAGAGCACGAGACTGTAAAGGAAGCCAAGGGGAAGAATTTCCCGGACAAATCTTCGCGAATTTGTATAATAAGCAACGGTGATCAGAAAAATATGCTTAATATAGCTGAAACTTTTTTCATTAAGCCTACATGTAACATCATGCATTACAAGTACTCAAATGCAAACATCACAGCAATGCTAGAAGACATAGAGAAGAAAGTAGATAATTATACAATGAGAGACTACCTTATCCTTTTTATTGGCCAAACAGACTTTGAAACAACTCAAAATTACAATATGATTGTTAAAGGAATAAGAAGCAAACTATGCAAGATAACTCATACAAATATTATTATCTGCTCACCGACTTTCAAACTTGGACCAGCATCGACATTATTTAATAATCGTATTGAGCAATTTAATAAAATTCTTGACGACGACAATGTACAACATGAATATTGCTATATTATTGACTCAAATAGACATCTACAATATGATTTCAACACATTCAAGAAATCTTCTGGACAAGTCAACACAAAAGGTCTAAAAGTAATCCTTGAGGACCTCCACAAATTTATTACGAAGTTACAGGACTATCATAACTCAAACACAGACACTTCAAACTTTTTTCGTGCCTAATCAACAGGCAAACACAGACAGGGAAAGTGTAACTTCCTCTGAAAATATTGAAGCACACGTAGGGAAATATGATCCTAAATCTATCTGCTTAAATATCTTCCATCAAAATGTTTGTGGAATTAATAATAAGAAATATCAATTAGAACTGATCTTGGAATGTTTGCCAAATACTCAGGATTATGTATGTATTACTGAACACTTTCTCAACCGTGACGCAATGCCGTATTTTAGTTTAATTAATCACAATGTCATTTCTTGTTACACTAGAAACAAAAAAATAAGAGGAGGTTCTTTAATTCTTGGAAGCAATAATAAAAACTATGTAGAGATAGAGTGTGGAAAATTGGCGTCTACTGACAGTTTTGAAGTCTGTGGTGTAAGAGATCTAGACACTAATGTATTTATTTTTTGTTGCTATCAAAATGGTAATAAGTATGAAATTTTCTTGGAAAAAATGGAACTTCTGTTACAAAAATATTTTGACAAAAAGGTAGTAATATTGGGTGATTTTAACGTAGACCTACATAAGAATGATATTAAGAAAGACGAATTTCTCGCTCTCTTAAAGTGTTACAATTTCCGTGCGCTAGTTGATTCTATAACGTTTATTAGGAATGATATTGAATCGTGTATTGACAACATTATAACAAATATTGATTCGGAGTCCATTAATAATGTCTCAGTTGATCGTAATGGGCTGGGAGATGGGCATGCAGCCTTGATGATAAGTTTAGTAGCAGAATGTCCTAAACAAGAAAAATGGAAAGAAGAAGCAGTCTTTGTTGAGAGAAGAAATTTTAGTAGCTCATGCAATAAAGTGTTTAGACAGAATATTAACAAAATTAAATGGCACAATTTAGGTATTAATGGTTATTTGAAAGGTATAACAGAGACTTTCAAAAAATGTTTTAGAAAAAGAAAAAGAAAATTCAATTAAAAATTTAGGTCAGGTTAAATGGACTACTAAAGGAATCAAGGTTTCGAGCAAGCTGAAACGAGTACTTTGTAATACCGATAGCACGCACAATGATCCGACCATATTGAATTATAAGAAAGTATACTTAAACGTTTATAGAAAAGTACTCATTGCGGCTAAGAATTTGGCGGTGCAATCTTGTATTAATAAAGAAAAATATAAGGCTAGAGGAGTTTGGAAAACTGTTAACAAACTAAAAAAGAATAATTCTGCAAGAAAATGTAAAAATATATCGCTGAAAATCAATAATAAAATTACAAGTGATCCAGAAAAGGTAGCCGAATGTTTTTCAAAACAATTTGATCATAACCTTTTACCTACGACTGGAAATCCTGCTCAGGCCTTACATATATTACGTGAAAATGTTCCTAGAGTTCAAAGTGACATCGTTTTTGGGCTTGTAACTGCCAATGAGGTTTCAAATATTGTAAAAAACATGGAATCAAAAACCTCTTGTGGGTATGATGAGATGCCAATATCAATAATCAAGGATAACATAGACTTATTGGATGGCAGTCTTGCTGCGTTCTTTAATAAGTGCGTAAAAGAATCTAAATTCCCAGACCAGTTCAAAATAGCAAAAATATTGCCAGTCTTTAAAAAGAAATGTCCTCTAGATCCCAGAAATTACAGGCCAATTTCTTTGTTACCTATAATGTCTAAGATTTTCGAAAAACTGATTAAATCACGACTTCTTGCACACTTTGAAAGAATGAATGTCATAAATCCAAGTCAATTCGGATACCAGAAGGGAATAGGTACTTCAGATGCTATAGATGCACTACTAAATTATGTCGTAATTAACCTAAACAATAAATTGAAAGTAGCAGGATTATTCTTAGATCTTAGCTCAGCTTTTGATATGGTTAGACATACTATTCTTTTGTACAAGCTAGAACACTATGGCGTCAGGAATACATTTCTGAAATTGCTGGAATCCTATTTGGATAACCGGAAACAGTATGTGGAAATAGATTTTATGGAAAATAACTGGACAGAAATTAAAAAATCTTCAAATTTTATTAGTATAAAACGAGGTGTACCGCAAGGGTCAATTTTGGGTCCTATTTTCTTTCTTGTTTTTGTCAACGATTTGATTGAGTATGTGGTCTCCAGAGTTCCAACCGCAAAATTAGTACTGTTTGCAGATGATTCAAACGCAATAATTTCTGCATCTAATTTACAAGAACTAAATGACAAAGCCCACACCACCTTAAGAGCCTTTGAAACATGGTTTGACTCCAATGATCTCCAACTTAACCCGCAAAAGACAAATGCAATCATTTTTAAGTCTACTGCAAGAAATCAGGATAGTCTTAGTCTATCTTTGAATTATCAAAATATAGAATCCGTCAATGTAGTGAAGTTCTTGGAGTTTATATAGACTCTTTGCTTAATTGGAAGCCAGAGTTGACTAAATTGAAAGTTCAATTAGCTCAGCATGTTATGCATTGCGCAGCCTAAGAGACGTACTTACAGTAGACCAACTAAAATCTGTTTACTTCGCATTAATAGAATCTAGGCTTCGTTATAGTATCAAGTACTGGGGACATAGTTACGATTATAACATTAAAAAGGCTTTCACAATCCAAAAGAGAGCTATAAGGATTATTGCACGAATTCCCCCATGGGAATCGTGCAAAGATTATTTTAAAGAATATCGCATATTGACTGTGCCAAGCCTATATATTTTAGTTTTACTCGTAGATTTAGTCAAGCTTAGAGCGGTTTTTGAAACAGATGATGAAATGACGTTTCGGCATAGTACTAGGAGAAAAGACCTGAATAATGTGACTGAACCTAAACTAAATATCGTGAAGCATAGCCCTCTCTACCAATCTGTTTCATTTTTCAATGGACTTCCAGCTGATTTAAAAATAATTTCAAATATTAGCATGTTTAAACGGAAACTGAAAGCATTTTTATTAGAAAGAAATTGTTACACTTTTGATGATTATTTTAGTAAGTAAGTTTGACATGTGATATTAATTTATTTTATTGATATGTTAATTTTATTGAATGTGCCTACCAATTGGATTGTTTTTAAAAAATTTTTAATATTTATTTTAATGGTGCTTTATAATTTAGCCGTAAAATTGTATGTTATTTCGCACACAGACTGTCTGTTTATGAATAAATGAATAATAATAATATTATTAGAAATCGCTATTTTCCTGCCTGAGGAAATAAAATCTTGTTTTGACTTTATTTCTTTATACTATCTATCAGTAAAGGGTACTCTATTAGCAAAAACTCAAATTTTAAGGGATCATTATTGGTTCATACATTAGATGACATTGGTCAGCATAAATAAACTGTCTTTTAATGTAACTAAAGTACGGCCGTCCGAATAAGCCGTATTTGACAGCTGTTAAACCTATACTAGAAGACAATTCAATAAAGAAAAATACACCTTAAGTGATAGCATTATTATGATTTTAGACAGCTGTCTAATATGGCCTATGTGAACGGCCGTACTGTAGATAAATAAAACAAATACAAACTTTGTAGTATTTATTTTGGACGACGAACTTTGAACCTGCATTAGGTACAATTAGTCATTTCATTTAGATTAAAATGTAGAGTGTTACGTGTTACTGCTATAACTCAGTTTCGTTATGTTAAAGATTATGTACTTACAAAAAACATGCTTTGCATTTGGGTGAAACAAAGACCTATGACAGCCGCAATTTCATGCGGCACCGTGTTCTTTGGTATCCGGTTATCAAAAGGGACTTCGAAAACTTTATGTAAAAACAATCCCTCCGGTAAAATACCGAAAAATCCTTCGGTGCATTATGAGAACTGTTCTCTGTATTCATTATGAGATATGTTATCAAATAACACCCTGTATGTTTATTTTGATACATTTCTCTATTGTCCGGTCTATTACTCATAATGTCTTTGTTGCGTGTCGGCAGAGCGGTTCCGCATAAGATAGCCGGTTTTAGGGCTCCGTAAGAAAATAAATAAAAACCCTTAAGAATTTATCTATACTACACTTTTATAATTTTTTGTCTAGTGGTGACTCTGGATAGGGCACAGAGAAGGTAACTTATTTTGTCTGTGTCCAAGTGACATTAGTTGTATTGGATTTTTTAATGCACTCCAAGCGCTATATTATTCTTATTTTTAACTTATGTTATGAGAATAATATAGCGCTGTGAGTGCTATAAAAATCCAATACATTGGTTTAAGCAAGCTTAATCATATGGTTTGAATTCTACTCTTATTGTGGACTAACCATGTAGTAAAGTTCTAAATATTTTCTACAGATGTCGCTGGATCGTCGCTTCGGGGTGACGAGCATCAAAAGATTGAGAAATTCACCAGGGTGCGCTAGGCGCCCGTAGCTCAGTCAGTAGAGCGGCGGAACGGTGATCCACAAGTTCAATATCCGGGTTCAAGTCCCGGCGGTCGCTAATGAATTTTTCGATTTTCTTATTTTCAATTTATGACATTACTTTGTAAAGACTTTTAGCACATTAAGTTTAGCTTGTACTATTGGTACAGTCAAGTTCACGTTCGTTTAGACCACAGGGTTAGACAGTCCAATGTTAGTCTCCAACCAGTCTAACCCATCCAGATCAATCTCGGTAGATAGAGCCCTGCCACGCGTTAGTGCCCAAGATAGTTGGAAAAGACGTCGGCAGTCAGTACTGATGCCGAAAGTTGTAGGTTGCTATCCGGCCTGCGGGAAGAAATATTGCGAGTTTTCAAAAATATTCAGAACTAACAAGCACATGATTTTGTATTAATATACCTAGTTACCTAGCTCAATAAGTTGAAAATCTTTTACACTAGGTTTTAACGGGTCGTCTGTTTTATCCCAATACAAAAGAAGAAGAAAATAAGTCACTATAGTATACTTTGACATTTGTGCAGAACGCTTTAAAATCTTTGCCTGACACGGTCTTGTCCGGTTTTTTCTTGCGATAAATAATCAGTGATGCCATTCTTTCCGGTTTTCTGTTTCGTTGTATTGTAGGGCGTATGAAATAATACCCTTTGTTATAAGTGAGATATTTGTTTACATTTGTTACCTACATATTAGCTAGTCAGAAAAACTCCTTCACAAAAGCATATTTAATAGCATCGTCCAAATTCTACCCGTGGGGACAAAGCGACTAAGGGGTATTTATCCAGGGAATGGGCAACAGCATTCTCTGTGAATGAAAAATCTTGCACTGCGCTCGCTAATCCACCTGTCTAATAAAATAATAAAAGATTAAGTACCTATTTAAATTTATATTTTTTGCGAGTTAGGCTTTGAATAGCTATTGCTGCCTACTAATTTTACACAGTCCAAGTTCAATGCCGGTTTCTGGCACTAAGGTTACGATATGACTGTCTTCTTAATTTAAAATTTTAATAAGTTTGCATTTTTAAGTAAGCAACGTCATAGGCATAAGTAAGATGACACCAACGATGAGGCTTATATTTTACTCATTTATCATCAACGGATGTTCCGCAGCGGAATATTCGTCTCGTGTAAAAGGGATCAAACAGGGTGTTAATTTAAATGCGTGCCATAGCTTCAGGGTAGGTTTAGTATAGATAAAGGATGCCGTAAAAAAAACTGAAAAAATCCCAGTCACAATTTTTTTCTTTTTACTTGGCTAACGTTTGATTCAATTGCCTGTATCTCAGCCGAAAGTGTAATCTCAAACTTTTTTAGACGAAAGTACTTGTATGGACACTCTCTAATCAACAACAGAGTCAATGTTTAATTCCGTATTTTTTCTTTTTACTTTTTTAATACCTATCTTTTTTACGGCATCCTTAATCGATACTTATCCTATCCTGAAGCTATGGCACACATTTAAATTAACCTCCTGTATATGCTAAAATTATCGCAATCTTAAAAGAAGTTATGCCCATGTAAGTCGGTAGTACCTAACCCTATTATTAAAGTCCTTGAAAATAAATCCTAACACAGTAACGTGCCCTTTAAAACACTCATTCAAATCCTTTTTGTTTTAAAATAAAAGTTTGATAACAATCAAATGAATTAAAAAACAAAGATCCAACTGCGGTAATTTCAAAGTTGTATGTATTTTCCGATAAAAATCCCCCATCTTGAATACAAAATAATTGTATTTATGATTCACAGAATTGAATTTATGTTTTTTTTTATATAGCCAGTGTTACTCGCGCGGCTGCAACGAATAGACACCTCACATGTCAAGATCAAGATCCGACCAGCTCTGTTTTTTTTATTGTATAGCCACATTGAATGGTAAAAAAATTATAGGAAAACAAAACAATACCTTCACTCAGTCGGCGAGAAACACATACAACGTCCGTTTGTGCGTTATTTTTGAGCTGCGTAACGCATGTGTTGAGACAATACGAGTTGCGACCTTATCCTCATACAAATATGGTCAAATAAGCGACAAATTGTTTGACAAATACTTTCGTCAACGCAGCGTTGTGCGATATTTTTGCGCTAACGGATGCGTATGTCAAACCGTTCCACATAAACCGTATTTGTATGAAAATAAGGTGGAAAATAGTATTTTTCAAACTCACGGATAGCGCTGCGCAAAAATAACGCACCAACGGACGTCATGTGTGTATAGCGCCATAGGCACATTGAATGGTAAAATAAAATAATAATAAAAAAAACAATACCTTCACTTACATACGCATTCGAGTAATATTCCGAAGGGCGGTCATTGCACTTTAAGATATTCGTGTAAAAAAAAAACGAATAATCAAGTTTGAAGTAAACAGGCAGACTCGTTTCGCAAATCTGTCGATAACCTGTTTTAAACCAAGCTTATTAGTAGAGTTACGGTAATGAAACGTTAGTAGGGTAGGCAGAGCATATTCTTCTTTTGTTGTATTCGTATGGGACACTAAGTCGACGAACAACCCTACAAACCCTGGGGCCGAAGTCTGCCGTGGAACATACGAATTCGACCTCCCATACAAAATCTCTGATCAGCTGATTGATTTTGCTTAGGGAGGTTCAGCGATCCAACTTTTTTTATTTGTACGCATGTGTGACGGGGAATGTTGTTCAGTTTTATGATTACTATGACCACCTTTCAGCTTGTTATACTTTTTGTTACTCCCGGTGTAGGTACTCTACATATTTGACTAGAATGATTAAAAAAAAAACGGTTTATAAGTAGTTGAACCTTTGAAATACCTATTTCAGCATCATATACAAAATAAATGCTCACAATAATAGTTTCTTCGATAAATAAAATAGTTCAATGTCATGTTATGTGACTCATTTATTACAGGATATAATTTTTCTATGGAATCATTCTTCTACTTCCTACATAGATCAATTAAGTAGCTACAATGAAATCATAAAATGTACCTAGGTATACCATTGTGTTCTAAAGGCGCAATCTCCACCGATGAGACGCGTGATGCGAGACGTAAAATGACATCTGTCAGACACGCGATCGTCGGAGAAGTGAAATGTGCGACATTGCTGCTCTTGAAACTATACAGGTTGAAATTTTACTAGTGACCGATAGCAAAAACTTAGAGCTGGCTGGTGATAGGGAACTACTTTCCCTTACGAAATAAGTATAAAAAAAACTATTGAACCTGCCATAGTAACGCAAATCACCTAATCGTCAATTTTGTATGAGAGGTACAAAAATATTTTCATATTTCGACCTATGTTTCTTGGGGTAAGTTGTTCCTTATCACCAGCCGGTTCTAAGTTTTCGTTATTGGTCACTAGTAAAATTTTATACAGTAGGTATTAAATGTATAAAACAGGAGAGACCAGCTACACACGTGACGTAAGACGCGCGACGGCCGACGATCACTTATCAGACAGGTGTCATCCCACACGTCACGACGACGCGCGTCCCCTCTGTGGAGCTAGCGCCTAATGGAATTATAAACAAACTACTAACATTTTTATGGAATGTACTTACTATCAGCAGTAAATCGCCACCACATCAACCTAACATTAAGGTACCAACTTATACTGGCTTTTCATACAAATACTAAGAAACACCAGGTTAAGTAGATCCCTTAAAGTGGATTTTCTGGCGATAGTAACTGGGCTTGGAGTGAGCCGCTGTAGCCCAGATGGTAGAGGCGTCGCCAGTATATATGGCGAAGGTCGCTGGTTCAAATCCAGCCAGCGGTGGAAAATTTTGCAAGTCTAAAAATAATACAAGGTGTTAATTTAAATGCGTGCCGTAGCTTCAGGGTAAGTTTAGTAGCGTTAGGTAAAGGATGCCGTAAAAAATATTGAAAAGAATCCCAGTCACAATTTTTTTTTACTTGGCTGACATTTGATTCAAATACCTATATCTCAGCCGGAATTCGTTCAATCTCAAAGTTGTTTAGACGAAAGTAGGTACTTGTATGGGCACTCACTAAACAACAACCGTATCAAAAAATGATATAAAAAAATACTTTTGTCTATTCTTCTATGTCTTCTATGGGATTTCTTTCAATATTTTTTACGGCATCCTTAATCGATACTTAACCTACCCTGAAGCTATGGCAAGCAATTAAAAAAAAAAATTAACACCCTGTATACTTAACTAATATCTGCTAAGCCGGTTCCGAACAGGCCGGATTTAGTCCACTGCATTTATTTTGCACGCGCCATTGGCTTTCCAGGCCCGGTTCTAGGTCACTGACTGAATTTGACATCGGCTACTGGTTTTGAGATTGTTCCCCCTTTAATTGAAATATGGAATTTAATAACTCTTCCTCAACAACGCAACGGATTTTAATGCGGTTTTTTGTATTAGATGGTGATTTAAGGAAAAGGTTTATAAATATGTAGAGTTTTTCCGGGAGAAAATGAGTTGTTGCGGGATGGGGATACTATGTTATGCGGGCACCACACGGTATTTTGTAAAGGAAGTAATGAACGGTTTTGCTTAGAATAAAGGGAAATAATAATGGTTCCGACAAATAAATGAATCTCCTGCTGTCTCTGTCCGACTATTATTCTAATTTACCAGCGTTATAATAAAATACCGACAAAAAATCCAAAGCATACCGAATAAAATAAATAAATTTAACTAACAGCTATGAACACAAACAAATAACATTTTAACTTAAAAATATATTAAACTCCGAATAACAAAACTAAACTTCCGAATAAAATACTGAACCTCCGACAAGATTACTAGGTTACTGACAACAGAGGTCATGTCAAAATAATCATTCTTTTACGACTTTAAGGAGTGATTTAATTTTCTATTGTTGGCACCAAATATATTTTTTAACTTTCAATAATGATGAATATACCGAAAAAACGGAACCGAAAATGTAGATTGGAGAAAAGGATCCTGCACTTGCCCGCAATTTTACAATAAATACATTTGTACCTTCTTGGGCTCGCTATCAGACCGAAACTCGCGACTCCGCCTTTGGAAGCGAACCTATAGGACACCACTACCTATAGGACAAAAAGAAAACAGGG